CTGTTGAGCTTTTCCAGAAATTTCTGATTTGTTTCCTGATTTACAGCATCCGCAGTTCTTTCATTTTCTAATCCATGCTGCAAGAACCCATTAATTCCAAACATTGTGACATTATCCCCCGACATTGAATGGCATCGCTATCCACTGAATCCCCCAACATCAACATCCTGGGAGTTGACCAAAAACTCAACTAGACTCACCATACAAATTCAATGGCTACAAGAGCAGGTCAGATGCTAAGAAGACAATACTGTAGCAAGTAACTCACTTCCTGATTCCCCAAAGCTGGACACTATCAACAAGGCACATGGAATTCTCCCCACTTGCCTGGATGGGTGCAGCTCCGACAACATTCAAAAAGCTCAACACCATCCAGAACAAAGCAGCCTACTTGAATGGCATCACATCCACAAACATCTGCTCCTTCCATCACCAACGCTCAGTAGCAGCAGTGTGTATTATCTAGAAGATGCACTGCAGAAATTCACCAAAGGTCCTTTCAAAACCCATGACCACTTCTATCTAGAAGGTCAAGGGACCCCTCCAAGCCATTCACCATTCTGACTTGGAAATATATTGCCGTTCCTTCACTGTCACTGGGACAAAACCCAAGAATTCCCTTCCAAAGGGCAATGTGGATCTACCTACAGCACATGGACTGCAGTGATTCAAGAAGGCAGCTCACCACCACCACCTTCTCGAGGGCAATTAGGGATGGGTAATAATTGCTGACCAGCCAGTGTCACCCATGTCCCACAGATGAATACAAAACAACTGCATTATTTCAGTCAAAAATGTTTTACTTATGGGCTTAATAGTTTACGGAGGCGGAAAATAGACAGAAAACTTCACTGCAGCTAATAGCTTTGTACCTGACCTGGGAGTGTGTAATGTTGACACCTAAATGTTTGAAATTGAAAATGTTATGTTCCATTGCACTCATCACCAATTTAAAATCCTGTGTTGTCCATTTTATCATATTCTGTTTTTGACTAAAAAGAAACGCTGAGGGGAAACAGTTCCAAAATGCAGAAGTAAATTCAAAACATTAATCAGCAAAAGTAATTTTTGTTTTATTTGACCTTTTAAATGCAACACAAAACAAGCAAGATCTTTGGGAAGTAACAAATGTGTTAGTCAAAGAAAGACCAGCTGGTCCATTATGATTGTCACTTGATGTTGTGATGTATTGTTTGCCATATCAAGAAAATCCCTATCCCCTAGAGTCATAGAGTTTTACAGCACAGAAAGAGATTTCAGCTTATTATGTCTCCACTGGTCATCAAGCATCTATCAACTCCAGTCCTATTCTCCAGCACTCAGTTTATAGACATATATTCTACAGCATTTTAAGTATTAAATAAAAAATTTCTTAAATGTTGTGATGGGTCCTGCCTTTCCCACCCTTTCAGGCAGTTCCAGAGACTCACCACTTCCTGGATGAGAAAGCTTTTCCTTAAATCCCACCTAATTGTCCTGCCCCTTACCTTCAATCTACACCTCTGGTTTTTGACCCCATTACCAAGGGGAAAGGTTTCTTCCTATCTACATCCCTCACAATTTTGTATTCTTCAATCAGGCCCCACCTTCTCTGGTCTAAAAAAAAGCAACCCCAACCTATTTAGTCTCTTTTCATTGCTAAATCATTCCAGCCAAGGCAACACCCTAGTGAATCACCTCTGTATCCTCTCTAGTGCAATCAGATCCAATAATGTGATGACCAGTACTGCATACAGTAATCCAGTCGGGCCTAATTAACATCTTATAAAGCTGCATCATAAACCCCCTGTTCTTATATTCAAAACCAAGACTGATAAAGGCTAAGATCCCATATGCCTTCTTAACCACCTTATTGATCTGTCCCGTTGCCTTCAAGGATCTGTGGACACACACACCAAGGTCCCTCTGATCCTCTGTAATCCCTAGGGTCCTACCATTTATCAAACAATCTCTTGCCTTGTTGGTCCTCTCAAAATGCATCAGCTTGTGTTTTTCTGGATTAAATTCTATTTGCCATTGTTCTGCCCATCTGAGCAACCCACCCTTGTCATCTGTAGTCGAAGGCTTTCCTCCTTGCTATTTAGTATGCCATCAATTTTCATTGAATCTACAAACTTACTGAATCTTCTTACATTCTGTCTAGATCGTAAATGTGTACAACAAACAGCAAGGGACCCAACGGAACACCACTGGACGCAGTCTTCCAGTCAGAAAAAAAGCATGTTCAACCATCATCCTCCGTCTCCTGCCACTAAGCCAATTTTGGATTGAATCGGCCAATTGATCTGGATCCCATGGGCGCTTATCTTCTTGACCAGTCTCCAATGCGACACTTTGTCAAAAGCCTTACTGAAGTCCATGCAGACTACATCAACTGATCTACCCTCATCTGTAGACTTAGTCAGCTCCTTGAAAATCTTAATTAAAACCAGTCAGACAAGATCTCCCCCTGACAAAACCAAGCTGATTGTCCTTGATGAATCCTTGTCTCTTCAAATCTAGGTTAATCAGTCCCTTCGAATATTTTCCAAAAATATTTCCTGACAATGTATTCTTCCAGGAGAGGTGGAATACCACATCACAAACCCAAGGCTAATTTTTTTTTAAATCTGGAGAATTCCTCCCTGTTTCCTCGCAATGACCGAAAAAAGACCACATTAACCATGACTCCATCAGGACACTTCAGGTCAAATGAAGAGTCATACTGGATCCAAAATGTTAACTCTCTTTCTCTCTCCACACATGCTAATAGACCTGCTCAGTTTCACCAATATTTCCAGGGCCAATTTCCTAACTACTCAGGACTGCAGATTATCAGGCTTTGGGGAATTTGTCACCCTTTAATCCCTCTAATTTGACATTAACTTAATACATTAATTTTATTTCCTTATTAATACTGATTTCCTTCAATTCCACTCTCTCACTGGACCATTGGTTCCCTCACATTTCTGGGCAGTCGTTTGTGCTTTATTTTGTAAAGACAGAATCAAAATATATTTCAATTCATCTACCATTTCATTGTTCCTGGTTATTGTACTCCAGCTTCTGATTGTAAGGGACCTAAATTGGTCTTTACTAATCATTTTCTCTTCACATATTTATAGATGCTATTATTTTCAGTTTCTATGTTCCCTGCAATTTTACCTTCATATTCCCACTCTTGATCAAAATTTTTGTCCTTTTTCACTCAATTCTGAAATGCTCCCGATCCTCAGGCTTACAGCTTTTTATATGTCTCCTCTTTGGATCTAACACTACCCTTCGTTTCTTTGTAAGCAATGGTTGAGCCACATTTCCTCTTTTAATTTTGCGCCAGCCAGGATTGAATAATTGTAATTCACACATTCTTTAAATATTAACCATTGTCTATCCACCATTAACACTTTGAGAAAGATTCTCCACTCTATCTATGACAATTCATTCCTCATACCTTTGTAGTTCCCTTTATTTAGATTCAAGACCCTGGTTTCAAATTTGACTATTTCACTCCCCATCTTTATTAAGAATTTTAATATATTATGGTTCCTGTAGAAATAGTGTCAGTGTACTGCTGACCTTGTTCCACATAAAAATAGGGCTGGAGTCTTCTTGCCCTCAAATGACTTGGGCAGTAGCAAGTACCTCGGGAATATCACCACATGCGAATTTCCCTCCAAACAACTCACCATCCCGACTTGGAAATATAAAGTCATTCCTTCAGTGCCACTGGGAGAAAACCCTGAAATTTCTTCCCTAAAGTCATAATGGGTCCACCAGCAGCACACGGACTGCAATGGTTCAAGAAAGCAGCTTACCACCACCTTCTGAAGGGCAACCAGGGATGGACAATAAATGCTAGCCCGGCAAGCATCACTCGTCCCACCCGTCATCTTTCTTAAAATTGCGCAAGATGGCTAGCAAGCAGTTTCCTGATATTGAAGGCCAATTTTCCAATCAATTGTTGAATGGCAAGAAAATGTTCTCTCTAGTGAGTGGCAAGAGGTCTATTTTTATGCATTACTGTTCTTATTTAGACACTGTCTCACCTTATTTATACGTAGTTCCCCCTTTCTTCCACCCACTGCACAGAAACTGGACGGTGACAATTCCTGACATAAAAGTCAGAGTGGGGACCTGGCAACTCCAGCTCACCAGCTCACTCCTCTGGCCCTTCATCAGTCACCAACATCTCAGGAATGCTCCATAAGCGGCGACTGCTTGCAGCCTTATTCACCAGGATCTTCAAGTCCCCATTAGGGAAATTAGCACCATGATTTCCCATATCCGATATGTCTGGGCCAATTGTCAGACCTGTGCAGGGCAGCTTCAGGCCACCGCTAGACCGGATTCACAGCTGGCCTTTAAAGATGGCATTAGTGCCAGGAACCACAGGAAGTTCTAGGAGTGGCCAGCGCTCCCACCTATGGCAAGGAAAATGTGACAAGTGATCTGCTATAGGGGCATGGTACATGGGTACGCTTGGCAAGGTAGCTCGTTATTGCATATGGAGAAAGTCCTTCAATGAAACTCGCCAAAATTGACATGTTGCTGATTTCTGTTCAGATTCAGCCCTAAGTGTGAAAGGCTGACACAAGTTGCAGAGTAAAGAATATCATGGGGTCAGGAAAACAAGTCCATTTAAAAACTAAAACCTGGGTTGGGGGATGAAAATGCAATTATAGCGTGTAATATGTGTGCTGACGTCAAACATGTGGTTTATGCTGATCTCCAAATACAATTTTAATTAAAGATTGCAGTGGAAAACTTTAGGGCTTTTTTTTGTCCCCATTTGGAAGGAAATCACTTTCCGAAAAATATGATAGGATATTAGTGAAGAAAAATTGATTTTGAAGATTGTAATCTGTATTAATATTCTTTGCCTTCTCCAGAATATTTTTAAATAGTTTATTATAATAAGATTAATTTAGATAACAACATTTTTAGAAACTTGATAATTAATAGGTCTTAAATGTGCAAAAACTGGTGCTTAGTTTATCCTCAGGAAGCATCACTAAAATTTCTGCTAGAAAACCGAAGATCTGTTTTAAGTTGTAATGAAAACTTTAAAATGCCCTGTGTATCAGACTGCGATGGTTGTCTAAATATCCTTGTGCATGTGACACCTAACAGTGACTAGTTAACTGAATTTTTTTTGTTGTGAGGCATGGGGCCATGCACTTCTTAATAGCTGTTTTCTGACTCCAACATTTAACAACCAGATGCCTCAAATTTTAAGACATTCTACAGGTTTGTTATTTTGCTTCCTAATTCCTGTTTCTGTATCTCACGTTGCACCACTTTTACTCCAATGTCTTTGCATTATCTACTATTGAACAATTTTGCTATGCTTTCCAATTCTGTAGCTTTTGCTCTCATTTCCTAGTCTTGCATATTGTTGTACACCAAGTTTTGAATATTTTCTCAAGGTCTCGCAACTCTATCACCTTAACTTTCCCAGAAATGCAGTGCAAATCCTGTTAACGCTGTATAATGTAGCAACACAAGAGTGGTTTCAAGCAATTCTAGGATCAAACTCATCATCCTGGAGCTGCAATTGCATTGCTTGCTATTGACCACAACCATTTAAATGACAATCAAAAAATGGATTGCAGATGAAGCAATGGCATTTCTTTTGAGTAGCATTTCTGAAGGACCAGCATTAAGAGACTGACTTGAAGTTTGCAAGCTGTTAGCTGGAAATTAAAATTAGTTTCTGTAACTAGCATTTGATCAACAATCCCAATTTTACACTCAGACGGCAAACATCAAAATCTTTGAAGTGTTTTTTTTTTTGAAAGTTTAACATAATTTAATCAGGGACCACTGGAGCAAAATTGATGACATACTAAATACAGGACCAGAGAACAGAGAATAAAATAGTACGCCTTACACCGGATTATATAAAATATTAAGACATTTGGCTTGGTTAACGCTACCCATGAGGCTATGCACATTTCTTCTTACCTAAATTTAGCATCAGAATCACCTGTTCCCGTCATCTTCATATATTTGTCTAAATTCCTCTCCTATGTGCACTATCTTTGTCTTTCATTTCCAGACTAAGTCCTGAAGCAGGAGAGATTAGAGTAAAGACCCTGACACTCGGTAAAGATGTGAAAGCTCTCTGGACCTTGCAGCAATCTGACACCTAATTGGTGGCTGCCGGGCTTTCTAACTAGTATTAGGAGCCTGATGGAGGAAGTCCAGACCATCAAGAACTTCTGATCAGTGAGAGATCAGCAGCTCCAGACAGCAGATGGCACATCACCCAAAGGACTGCCAGTATAGAAGGGCAAGCACAGACAGAGGACAGAGGCAAATGTCAAAAAGGGTTGGGAGTCAATAAGAGAAGGGGGCCATTGACAGCCAAATAGAGCAAAGTGAGATGGAAAATTACGCTCTGATCTTTGTGCATCTTCTCCAGCAAAGATTCTGCCAGCAGACATATAATGTGGTTTTGTCCCATGCTTTGGGCATTGGTGATGAATTGAAGAGACAGGAAATGAGACAAAATGCATATTTTTGGGAGTTCTCCAAACCCGTGTAGACATAGTCTGTTGGCAGGTATTTAGCCATCTTAAAATCATGCTGTTTCCTCTGCTCCGGAAAGGTCCAGGCTGAAGAGATAAATGTTCTCCACTGGCCCAGTCCATCCTTAGCCAGACTAATATCAGAACAATAGCGTCCTGATGTGCAGCAATGGCTCAGGACAAAACAGTGACAGTTCCTAGGGTCTCTGGTGACAGGGACTACTGCCCAGTGACTCTGACAATCATCACAATGAAGTGCTTTGAGAGGTTAGTAATGGCACACATCAACTCCAGCCTCTCAGGCTGCCTTGATCTGCTGCAATTCATCTACTGTCACAATAGGTCCACAGCAGACACCGTTTCCCTAGCCTTACACTCATCTCTTGAACATCCAGATAAGAAGGCCACCTAAGTCAGACTCCGATTTATTGACTTCAGCTCCACCTTCAACACCATAAGTCCAAGCAACTCATCTCCAAACTCCGAGACCTAGGACTCCAATCCCCACTCTGTAACTGGATCCTTGACTTGCTGACCCGCAGACCGCCAATCAGTAAGGATAGGCAACAACACCTCCCCTACAGTAAAGCTCCGCAAAGCCACATACTCAGCCCCATACTATGCACCTTATACAGTCCTAACTGTGGCCAAATTCAGCTCCATCTTCATTTACAAATTTGTTGATGACACCACTGTAGTGGGTTGGATCTCAAACAATGACAAGGCAGAGTACAGGAAAGAGATAGACAGCTTGCTGGCATGGAATAAAGACAACAATCTTTCCCTCAGTGTCAGCAAAATGAAGGAGCTGGTCATCAATATCAGTAAGTGGAGTGGAGGACAAGCCTGTTGTCTGTATCAACGGTGCTGAGGCAAAGGTAGTCAAGAGCGTCAAGCTCCTAGGAGTAAATATCACCAACAATCTATCCTAGTCCACCCAATTTGACGCTATGGTAAAGAAAGTAGACTAATACCCGTACTACCTCAGAAGGCTGAGGAAATTCAGCATGTGCACAGTGACTCTTACCATTTTTAAAGCTGCACCATAGAAAGCATCCTATCCAGATGCATCACAGCTTGGTTTGGCAACTGCTGTGCCCAAGACCGCAAAAAATTGCAGAGAGTTGTGAATACAGCCTAGTCCATCGCACAAACCAGCCTTCCTTCCATTGACTCTGTCTACACTTCCTGCTGCCTCAGAAAAGCAGACAGCATCATCAAGGATCCCTCTCAACCCAGTTATACTCTCTTCCACCCTCTTACTTCAGGCAGAACTTACAAAACTTTTAAAACATGTACCAACAGATTGAAGAACAGATTCTTCCTCACTGTTCTCAATCTTATCAATGGACCTCTCGTATATTAGAGTTGATCTTTCTCTGCACCTTCACTACAGCTGTAACCCTATACTCTGCATTCTGTTCCATTACCCTGATAGACTTATGTAAGGTTTTATTTGTCTGGTTAGCATGCAGAACAATATTTTTTACTATATCTTGGTACA